TTTTACATTTTAAAGTTTTAGATATAACCATCCAAAGGGAAAGTATTTATTTCCAACTTGTGACCATGCTATGCGGTTGGAAGACTAGTTCAGCATTCAAGGTTTAATCTCGAGCGTGGTAATGGAAGTCATTCTATCGTTACGAATGGTGAGAACAGAAGTTACGGTGGTCTACGTGTACTCGAGCACACTGGATTTAATAAGAGGCCAAGATGCATGACCCAGATTAGAGACGGTTACACAAGGTGAAGAGTGTAGATTTTGGAAAGAATGGTCAGATAGTTTACTAATGTGTTCATTTAATGGCATGAAATTTAACTCGCAATGGACTTGAGAGTTTGGAGCAAACCATGGTGCCTTAGTAAACCATGATAAACCATGGTCTTGCTCAATAATTTATATTGAAATGCAACTGGCCTTTAGAGATTACTGTGTGTTTCAACCAACACCATATTTGACACTGTAGGTTATGGTAGGTTAAAAATGTAATTGTACACTAATATTCGGCATTCAATACTATTGACAGATTGAGAGGTAATTAAAAGGAAAATAATGTCAAAACCAACGATGTATTGGCTACTGCGTGATTGTAGTGTTTGCAAGTTAATATTCTATTAAATAACACACCTAGATATTTCACAGGTGAAGAGGTTGAAGTGATATAATTTCCAGTGATGTTAATTTCGGGAATATTATTAAGTCAGCGTAATATGAATATCATGGTTTAATATTTAGTATGATTTAAAATAAGTCTCCGTTTCTGAGTCTATTGAGTGTAGATGTTTAGATCATTACAAACGTGCTTCCCGCTATTATGACATCACTGAAGAGAGGTCAGTAGTAGAATATCATCAACGTGAAACGCTCTGTTGGAGTCACCTTGGATTATGATGTCGTGGCTGAAAATGTTCAATAGTAAGAGGGAGAGAACTGAACCTTGTGGTACCCTTGCGGCAATAGTGTGAGGGCTAGATAAGGTAGTGTTGGCTTTAACTAAAAACCATCGTAAGGAAACTTTCCGTTATAAATATTAGATACTTGGATATATCTAGATTTTGCACTTTGAATAGGAGATCTTGGTGCTATACCCAATTATATGCTTGACTTATGTCAAGTTCGTCGCCGTATATTTTATTTGATGAAAGCCGTTACCTATAGCATGAATAAACATTACTTATAAAAACAATAACGTATGTTTTGTCGTAACTAGTAAAAACTGTTCAGTAGAAAAACTTAATAGAAGCTTCCCCTTGATGCGTATCAAAACACAGTTCTTGCGCTCAGTGTCTTTCACTTGTATACGACCTCTGTTCGAGCCTCGTGATTGGTGCGTCGCCAGGTCGGCAGTGGTTTCGGCGCCAGTCGTGAGCGCGAATCCTGCATACGAATCCACGTCCCCTGTGCAAGATCAACGCGTTGCGGTTCCCGTGCTACTATGTACCTGGCTGCTCTGTCGATTTTTATTAATTAAATATATTTTCTAGTTTTGGGTGTATATGTGTTTGCATGTCTGGAATTTAGAGAAATGAATTGCTTCTATGTAGGCATTTAATCAATTAATAACCATCCGAAAATTACTGACTGTAGCACTAAGAGTAAAGAAACTTTTGAAGCAAGAAATTTGTATCAAGCCGTTTTGAAATAAAGCAGTATTAAGCTATCAAACTGTTATTTTATATACGGTCACAAACACTGAAAAGTACATGATTATTGAAACAATATAATTTGGTAAAAGTATCCTAATAATCTCCGTATTAGAAATTATAGCATAGTTACGTTTTAAAAAATGTATACAGCAGAAATATTTTTGCTTATGGACCGATATTCTAATTTCTTTATGGAAAATTATTAGTCCAAATTAAATAGTTAAGGAAAATGCATGTTCGTCCTATTGAAAATCGAAAGAACTTCACTTCAGAAAAGAATAGTGAAATTTTACATTGTTTGCAGTGTGAAAGACATTGTGGCCTTCGTAATGGAACGATATTTTGATGTATGTCTGGTGGTTTTCCTCAGAAAACAACTTACAATCCTAAGTCGACGATTGAGGAATGAGGACCAGAAGATGTCCGTTCATTAACTTCCAATGGTCTGTACGAAAAATTAAGACATAAAATAGAATGTAATGTACATTACTTATTGCCCCGTTCTTGATTCCCAGTGAGTCACAGTCCAGAGAAAAGTATAATGGCGAGCGCTTGAAGCCGAGTTTTCTCCGGGCAGCCAAGTTTTCTGAAAGTCGCATCGGTAGATTACGTCTCGTTAATTCATCAATATTGTTATGATTTGTAAAAATTCAAATGTGTGTGAATTGTTTAAATACAATAATTGATATCGTTTAAATCATGTTTTATTATTAATAGTTATTTGCTGATATTTTAATTTGTAATATTTCATTCCAAACTTTAAACAAAAAAATGGATGTTCACAAATACTGTATCTTCCCAAGTGAAACATATTGTGTCATAAAAAGATTAATGACTCTTGGCACTGGATCGTTGGCGCTTTCTTTTACCATTCATAATTTCTCCAGCTTTAAAAAAAATTATCCCGCCAAGAAGTCTAGGAAGTTTAAATGTACACATTTGTAAGAGTATCTAGAGTTCGTCTAGTGTGTATGAATTTGCATAATGAATAACAAGATAATGAAACTACCAAGAACATTGTCGATGAATGTGGTTAGATGATAGTATTGTATGTTAACGGAATTCGTGCTTAGAAAACCCCAGGTGTAAGGCAGTAAGAGGAAACGGGGCTGTCCGGCGGTGTGTTCATGCTCGCATCTATGACTACAGTACGAAACGAGTGTATAAATGTTCCCTCAGGTGAATGATTCGCGCAGTTTTGTTTTTGTTTTGTTTTTCCTCAACTAGCCCCCTTGTGCATTCAAAAAACTCGCGTTTGCGTATTTTCTCTTTCTTTTGATTGTCAAAACAGTAAAATAATTATGTTCTAAGACAGCCACTAGTTAAAGCGGTTACTTTTGAGCATACAAAGCGTACTAAAAGTTCAGTACTGAGCACTAGTGGCAATAGGAAGAAGATGTTCAGATAAAACTATCTATGAAAAAACGACTGACCGTCTCAGTTACTACGAACCATAATGTATCATAGTACCCAATTAAGTGATGTGTAGACTTGAAAATAAAAGTCAGTCTGTCTAAGAAATGGCGTATGACATACGTGGTGATTCTATTGTTGTTAAATCGAATTAGAAACGTGATTTTATTTCTCCAATAAGTTCCATATGACTTATAATAGGTTACAACCAACCTTCTTACAACAATATTTACACATAAGCAATGATAAGAATTCTCTGAAAACATTTAGACTTTCTGAAAAGTGAAGATAATGGCGACATGATAACTATTTTTGTAACGCTTCAGATTCGCTGTATAAAATGATGAATATGAAATGTTGTAATATACACGTTTCAAAAATACTTTTTCACAAAATTAATTGTACGATATGTTAAATTTTGTTTAACATTTTGTATTTATCGCGTTCTGATCTTGCATGTAAAATGAAATGTATTTTTCAAAATTCCCGCTTTCCATCTAGAAGCCAATGCAGCAATTTGTGTGAAGTTTATCAATATTAATATATAATTAATATTATATTACCAAGATTAATACTACGTATGGTGGTTACATTTTCATAATATTATTCTCATAGTAGCTAAGCGTTAATAAATAAATATATAAGTAAATAAATAAAGTCTTATAGTATTATATATTTAAATCGAAAAAACATGGTTTGTAAAAACACATTACCCAGCGTACACAATCCTGATCAAGTTCTAAAACCTTACGACTGCCTGCGAAGCTTGGCTACACAGATCACCAAAATACCGTGTTTCTATGAAATACTGGAAATATAATATACAAGTTTAAAATGAAACTTATATAATATTACCAATATGATTGTATATTTTTAGCGTGTCTTTGCATCGCTTGTAGCAAACATAAATAAAATATCACTGAAAAAAAATGACAGGAAGTTTCTCCTGTTGAAATATCTTCGATGAAAAACTATTGTGTTATCCGAGCAGGGATTGTCGAGGCTATTATCTTTAAAGCAAGTTGATGCTATTTTTAGCAAACAATTCTCGTCTATTTTATGAAATGTTCACATGTATTATTGTTCAAGTTTTTTTACTTGATAAAAACGTAAGTTTTCATCCTTAACAAAACCAAAACGGATTTTTCTTTCACGCAAGGGTAAACAATTATTTTCTGACATCTTGCCACAGGGCAACATTTTGGATGTCATTCTATTACCATCGTCGGGTATGAATTCACAATGACGAGCTCTGTATGGGCTTCAAGATAAGAAAGTTAAGACATTGGCATTATTGGCGTTGTAATATGCCGCGTCGCAGGCAGCAGGAAAGCTATTTGTGGGTTCACAAAGCTTTTGTAGTCTACCATCTTTTGAGTAATCCTCCATAGAGCAATATATTAGCACGAGTATTTCGTCCGTCAGAACCTAAGCTTTTTCAGGAAAAATAACAATTTTTATTGAAATATTTTTTTCGATTTCTTTTTCTTCTGTCTTTATTTTAAAATTCCTCCAACTCAAAAATAAACACATATACAAACATCTGAAAAATTGTGAACTAGAAATTCAATAATAATTTCCAGTATCCTTATAGAACACTTGTATACATTCGAGTATTCTTATGAGTTAATATAATATAATACGTTTACCTAGAAACTTTGCCGAATTTTATTACGCCGCGAAGACAGATTGAGCAATTTTGTGTAACAAATGTCAGGATATTATTTTCACATATACTGAAACTCGAGTGATCACATTGCAATTCAGTTTCATCTCTCAAGCTTGAATAAATAATTTTCAAAGATATGCACCTAGATGTCAGCACTGCATTGATATGAATAAAATGTATTTATAATTGAAACTTATCGGCTAAAGACTATTTTTACTTCGAAAATATGTGGTTCGATATCATTTAAGACCCAGTAGAGATTAATATCATACCTTCAAGTATTCTCTTGTTCTTCGCCAAACGCAAGTCACATGACAAATCCGCTCGCTCCCAAATGCTAGAGACGGATGAATCCCAGTGGCACAATCTGTGTGTGAGTTGAGTTATTACGCTGACTGCTTCATTTATCAGCACCTCGAGGTAGCAAAATCTGAAACAAAATTATTAATGTGGATGATCTGTGGCACAAAATATAATTGTTACCGTGCAAATATCGCAAGTTGAATCATATGATTTTGGCTAATACGTCCACCTCTCTGAATTAACCGCAAATGAGAATTCTATTTATTATTGTTATAGACTGGTATGAATGATATTAAATAAATTTATCCCACAGCTAAATGACAAAATAATTGAACTACAGAATCTAGTTAAGAATCGTTTTCTATAACATTAACATTACATTAACAGCTTTGATGCTAACAAATATAAATAAATTATTTTTGATAAAATAATATAAATATATTAATAGTTGTAAAAAATTATAGTATCGCTTTAACGAACTTTTTTATTTTTATTGGCATGCTAAGTGGCTTTGAATGAATTTTAATGAGATCATAGGATCTGTCATCTAGAAAGAAGAATTAGTACTAGCTGCAATGCTCGAGTCACATTTCCTAAGTGCCCGATCTGAATGCATTAAAAACTGTTCTTTATTCGAACAATAATAAAAATGTTGGAATAGTCAATGTTAACTTATATTACTATTTAAGCGACAACAACACCTCATCAGTAGATTTGTTATGTTTATAGTTACGAATTGGTTTTAAGAGACACTCATAGAATGCGTTGCCGAATACAACAGTATAGTATTTACTACAATGCTTTATTAATCCTTCGATGATGACGTAAAAAATAGTGACATTGGGTAAGTGCGACCAAGATTGCAAATAATTCAAATTTATAATTTTGAAATTAGTTTTCTAAATGTTACTCTTTTTTATTACAAGTTTAAGATAACAACAAATCAGTCAGAAAAGAAACTTTTTTCTTCATAGAACATGCTGTGTTATAAGGAACGATATAAATTTGACTTTAAGACATTAAAATTTATAACATGAAATTTTTTCATAACATTCTTTGCATACAATTGCTATACGTTTCAATTCACGCAAAATCAATATTTTGCACCAAAGTATTTTTTGTTAAAATGTTTTTAAATCATCACTGTTAAAAATAACTTGAACCACAGATGACATTGGATATGTGGAACTCCCCAAATATTGTGCACTAGGCTTTCACGCAAAAAGTGCAAGGTAAACAACAATAATAGAATGATTATAGTTCAGAAGCTTCCGTAGGTATGTAACTGAGGTATAACTCTATTCTACTCCTAATGCTAATTCCTTCCTGTCCAAATTTGAACTAACAGATGATTTTAACTGGTCCAACGTCACCACGGAAAGTTTCACTTACATTCGATGTCCAAAAAGATCACATGTAGTCGCCTTTCGAGCGAAGCATTTAATTTCGATCCCCTCCACACACGTCGCTATCCGATTGCCGTCGAAGCAGTAAAACGAGGGCTGTCTTCGGGAGGTTCGAGGCGGCTGTGAGAGTCTCGAGGACGCAGAGAAAGCCCCGTCGAGGCGGTCGCCCCGACCGAGGGGGCCGCACTGGGGGCCCCCAGCGCCTTGCACCCTCCCCTTCCGTACCCTCGCCCCCCCGGCGACCCCTCCCCGAGGAGACTTTCTTTCATCCCCACTTTCACACGCTGCGGCAGGATGCGTATAATCCACGCTTTCTGCTTAAGATGCCTCGTATCTCACGCTAAGAGCGTTCGGTGCGCTTCCTTCTATCGGATTCATAATACGTTGCGTTGCTCAGAATTTATTCTCGTGTACACCATGAGGCAAAATCAGGGTCATATTCATTATAAGATGTATTCTGATGAAGGACAACACCGAATTGTATGATACACTTCCTAATTCGCACTCACAACTTTACTTAAATCCATGTTACTTCTTTGTTTACTGTCGACATATTTGATTTTGTTTCTCTATTCATTTAGTCAAGTACGCGGAGTGTTGAAAATGAGAAATAATATAATTTGAAACATATGTAAAACAAATTCTAACAGAGTTGGAATTTTTTTCTAAAAATAATATTATCAAAATGATAATCCCAAAATTGATGCACATAAAATTTTCTAGACCACCTTTTTCAAAGAACTTTCCGCAATATCATATAGTTATCCTTATGCAATATTAATTTATAGTTACGGGGAAACTGATATGCCGTTGAACATAATATATCTCAAAAAACTTGGAAAATAATTATAATAAGAAAAACTACTCTTCGATATTTCCTTCAAACGGTCGTGACATTCAGTAGTTGAATTAAAGTTTCATAAACATCATGAAATCATAATAAATTATTTTTATTGCTGCTTCATTTTTAAGACATTAAATAAAAAGATTCGCAGTGCGAAGTGATATATCGGTGGTTTTGAACACATTTTGGTTATTTGTCTCTTTTGATTTTTGTATGGTCTGTGTAATTCGTTTCAAAGCGTTAATACAGATTTGTTATTTATACATCCAAATAAATAGCGTAAAGCAGGGTAGCTGTCTAGAAATTTACCTTTAAGGAGTGAATTTAGAAGTGTACGTTGATGCAAACATTGACAACTAATTGTATTACGTCGAATGTTCTTAGAGAAGGCGCTTCGTATGCCTCATGCTATTCATATTAATATTACTATTCGCCTTCCATAGCACAATCATGTGTGAAAAATCAAGAAACTATTTACAGACTCTCCCCAACAGTTTGTTTGACAGAAAATACTAATTTTGGACAGAGTATCAATGTGTAAGTTACTGAATGCTTGAATAAATTTTAGTTGGCATTTGCTTCAAGTCGAAGAAAATAACTAACAGTTTTTACGATTCTTCTGAAGCGTTTAACTTCAGAATTGTGGTATTGTGTGTGAATGAGCCATGTTGGTTAGAAGTTCTCGATTTAAATTCTTTTGACGACTGTATTCGTTCAACCCAATTAATGCTGGTCTCAAGTTGTTTGTAGAAACCAGTATTCGTGTATAGTTTCTATACCTTATCCCTCAAATTATTGTAATTGTATATTAGAGAAGCTGCACTGTTATTTTGGGGAGAGGAAGAACAGGGGAAGTGGAAACGCAAACTAGAGAAGGAAGAGGGTGGGGAGAATTACAAGGAAAGGGGATTCGCAGGAACGGAAGTAAGTGTGAGAAGGTTGCAAGGAGAATAGAGATTATGGCAGGGAGCGATAACGAATTTTTAGAGCAGAAAAATGTAGTAAAATCTACGTCTTTAAGTATAATGAAGACTATAAGAGGATTGTGGTTTTAAGTACCTCAAGACATCTACAGAATATAATGGAATATGAATGAAAGACGTTTAATTACTAAATTCGTATTGGAGAACGAGTTTAAACGAGGTTGGTCTGGGTGGAAATTGAGAAAGATTATGCAAAATATGTCGGTATGATGTAGAGGGTTGGGCCCATGTAATAGATAGATTCCAAGTTGAGGAAGAGGCAAAAACAGTGAGAAAGATCACGGGATTAAGGATAAAGCCGTAATGGGACAAAGTAAAGAAGGAAATGGATACATAAGATTACGAAAAGATGGGAAGTAAGAGGGGAAGAAAGAAGTTGATGGTAAAGTAACTATGTCGAATGATATTTAATGATAAGTGCCCTGAAGATATGAAATATATTGTAGTAATGAATAGTTTGTAAGTTTATGATGGAATATATTGTATGGTAGTAAATGGATTACGTATATTGTATAGAAAAAATCTTATATAGAAATGTATTATATAGAAAATATAAAAGTGGATTAAAATATGTGTGAGATTTTCAGACTACCTAAGAACGTAAAACTCCTGACTATCAAAGTAAAGTTTAAGCATCGTTTTTTATCAGTTGTTAGTTAAGTAGCTACGATATCGTAACAATGGTTGGCTATTGGGATCCATACAAATATTTCTTCGAAATTGTATACACTAGCCACGGCAACGGTGAAATATGCGAAATAATGAAATGTACAAATAAAACTCACACTGTAACACTTATGGACCTTCGTAACTAGTCATTTACGTAACTACTTCACGAAAAGCGACTTCAGAGTACGAATGAAAAGTTAACTTACTAGGTGACGATAGGAGACGTGTCCGCTATTTAAAATCATTACGCAAAAGACACTTTTGTAAGAGTCGCGTATATTATATTTTTAGAACGACTTTATAAAAACTTTTTGGTATATATGTAACTTACGGGCTGCTTATTTTGGAATAATTCTCAATACGTGAGGAGCCAAGTTAATTCATGTCGCCCCAGTGTTTTGTTTCCTTACCTAGTTGTTTTATACGGCGATACGCGTACGGTAAAGTCTATTTTGCCGTCCGCATTCCGCAATGCAACACTTTTCCGTAAATAAACAGTGAAGGTGAGTGCTTCTTGCCATGCACGAGTGCTGAAATTGTCATTGAGAAGCGCTGCGGTAGACGAGCGTGTTGCTGCGAAGGCGGCCGCGGGCGTCGCGCGGGTTGCGGACGGCAGGGGCCGCGCCCTCCGTCGCGGCGCCGCCGCTGCCGACGCCGACGCCTTCTGCGCGGCGGCAGGCGCCCCGGCCGCCGCGGCGCCCGGCTCCTGCCGCGCCCTTGCCGCCGCGACGCCGCGCCGCCCCCGCCGTCGCCCGCCGTCGCCCGCCGTTTCGCCAAATGCTCACCCCCGTTCGATGCGAGCTGTAGAAAGATTCTATTTTACAAAGAGGAATATTAGGAATTCCATAGATATATACTTGCAGACAGACAAATCTTGGAATAATCATTTATTTCTTGAGACGTACTACGCAGCAGTTTCCGTGAATTTTTCCCACCATCACACCGTTTTATTAAATAATAAAAATATTTTTTTATTTCCTTTTTTCTTTCTTTTCCCTTTTTTATTATGTTTTTTATTATTTAATTTCACAGCCTGATAATGGGAACAACATTCCCTGAAAATGTTGCGGAATTAATCTCATGAAATAATTTTTTATTCCAAAATTTGTCTGTCTGTAAATATGTATCTATGGGCCTTAATTCCTTCGTTATTTCTTGGATGTGCAAGATTATATGGATTATCTGGATGTGCAAGATTGTTGGAACAATACACCGCAATGCAGATTCTCACACACTAGTGACAGCTTCAACAGAAGGCAACTTTCAATTCAAAGATATATTTAGATCATAATATTGATTCTAAAATTTAAAATCCGCCTACAATAACTATGATTTACCAGACCTTCCAGAACATTCTAAGATAATTGTAAAAGATGTGTTTTGGGGAAGGTTTAGGCCCACAAAAAGTTTTGGTGCGTTTTAAATACAAAGAATCTTCGGCTCATCCGATTGGTCTCGCAAGACGAATCTAATGGCACTATTAGACAGATCCATTTAGAATATTCTGGAAGAATTCTTGAAAAGATATGTTTTGGAGGTTCAATGCACCTTTAGTAATGAAATGCTTTCATTTACTATTCATTAGTGTGTTTCTTAATATCATAACTCCATGTCTTGATTCTTAAGATTGACGATAACTGAAACTAATTTTGTAACGAAACAAAAATTCAACAAAACACTATTTTACGAATACTTCTCCATTTAATTTTCAACTCCGAGGATGAACATGCTACGTAACTTTATTATGCTTAAAATGTATTTTAACGGTCTCCAACCGTAAATAAAAAAAATACGATGAAAATACCCGCCGTTAACGCAAAGCTACCATATTTTATATAATATTGCCATGTTTGAATGATACAGTAGTACGAAAAAAATATCCACATCTGTGGAAGCACTACATGTATGTATCACGCCGATTCTGATTGTATCCCAATACCATTTCTATATTATATTTCAATGATATTTATTTCCTCTTGTACTGAAATGCCTTTAGTTGATGTAGCGGCTAATCTCTGGAACACGAGAACATAAGCATCCATAATATCCATAATACTATGAACACGAAAATACAAGTATTTTCACTGTCGAAATCTTTATATCGTTTGATTTTGCAATATAGAAGATGGAAGAATATGGTCTTCTGCCACGGTTAACAACTCGACATGTTATAAAACATACCCATTCATTTAATATGCCTAATTATTTACTTTTTTAAGTATATTTTTAGCGTATGATTTAGTTGTTTGCTTACGGATCCAAAATTGTCCGTTATCTACAGTCTGATTTTTGTAATTTAGGTTATTTTGTTTAGCAATAAGTTAAAACCAATTTTATGTTTAAAGGCATTTTTTTTCTATCTCGCCATTTTGCGTAGGCCTACTTACGTAGTAAAGAGGTTTTGTAATGCTGCAGCGGAAAGTGGCGGGCTCTGATAACAAAAAAGTGGGTAAATCGTGATCCTATAATTAGTAAATTAATTTCTCTAACACCTTGTATAGTTATATTATAGTTTAGTGAGTTCTTTATGTCGAAAAACTCGTTTACGCCAAAACGTCTGTCCGTCTGTGACCAATTCTGTCGCCTAAACCGTTCAGAAAATTATCCCTAAAATTTATAATCCCAGATCGATGGGATCGAACTCGAGATACTGTGAATTTGAAACTTATACTTTTATTTTGGAGTACTAA